TGGAAGCAACACAACAACCCCCCTCTCCTCGGCAAGGCTGTGGACAATGGCTGGGGTTGGTTGGTGGGGATTCATGTGACATTGTCCAATCATACTCCTCTGTGTATCGAACAACAATACCTCTTGGTTCCCAACTGTACAGTGGGCTGATTACCCAAGGAGCTCTGCCTCAATGTGACTGTTGTAATGGATCCTACTCGCTGGTGGGATGGCCACCATATAGTGGGAATGACACTCACTGATTTCCTGCCAGGTGATGCTATTTGGGTTTGTGGTCGCCACGGCTGGCCACATTTGCAGGCCCAATAAATGGGCCACTGCACTTGGGGGCGCCCCTTTACTCATGGTCACCTCATGCCCACATTACTGCAGAGGCCAGGCAATTGGGACCCAGTTTACCATCGTTGGCACAGGGAAAAGTGGGTGGCCTGGTGGTTTTACCCCTTAGCCATCTTATTGCCAGGGAGTGGAGTGATAGACGTAGAGATACAAGTGGAAGGCCTTGCCCAACACGTCGCCAACATTGTGAATATCACATGAGCCTCTTTAGCCCTGCTCCTTGATGAAACAACCCAAATTAGAAAAGTGGTTTTGTAGAACAGGGTGGCCTGAGGCCTGTTAAATTCTACGCAGGGGGGGGACATGTGCCCTCTTGCACTTTGAATGCTGTATTTACATCCCGGGCCACCATCAAAAGGCACAGGATGCCTTGCAGGAGATAGACATTGATTTTCGGATATCCAGGCCCTGCAGGACGACCCCCTTTCGCGTTGGTGGAACTCCCTTGGCCCTTCATGGCGGTGGGCAGGCCTTATCTTGGCAGGTATTGCCATCAGCCTCGTGGTCCTCTGTTGCTCTACGTATTGCTGTTGTGGCCTTTGTGCACAAGGACATGCTCTTTGGGTCAAGTTCCGAACCACCACCCTGCAGGGGGTTGACTGACAGGGCCCGGGCAGGTTCAGGCGCCCACAAGTGGCAGCCCTGGGCGTGGGGTTTGGGCTGGCCAGATGTGTGCGACATCTGGACCCTGACTTAGAACATACAAACCTTGACTCTGGAGCCTGCTGTGCAGGGGGCCGGGCTCCGGTTACATAAACTCTTTATGTAAGAATGACTTGCAGTCACGGGAGGGAGCATGTGTTCTCCTTCCCCAAAACCTCTATATAATGGTTGCTATTGCTGATTAAAGATATTGGTTCCTCCTCATGTCAACTCCTCATGCTTTCTTTACCCTGCTCATCTCACCACCAAAATCTCCCCTGCAGCCCCCCGGCGACGACACTTGGCAACTTGTAAACAACAGAAATATATTTCTCACAGTTCTAGAGGCTGGGGATTCCAAACTCAGGTTGCTGGCAGAGTTGTTGTTCGATGATGGCTCACATTCTGGTTCATAGATAGATTTCTTCCTGTGTTCTCACCTGGTAGAAGCAGCGAAGAAGCTCTGTGGGGTCTCTTTTATAAGGTGCTGATCCCATTCACCAGCGTTCCACCCTCATGACTTAATCACCTACAAAACATTCTACTTTTTAATACAATCACATTGGGGCTTATGATTTCAACATATGAATTTTGGTGGGGACAAACAAGCAGACGATAGCAGTAACTGACTGACATCTGTGTGTCATCAACTTATTGAGAACCTTCGGCTCTGCAATGAGCCTTAGCTGAAGATACACTTGAGAAGCCATTGTTCTCAATCTTGCCCCATTTTGAAAGGTCCAGTCATAGTGCTTCCCCAAATAATTGTGTCAACAAACTTTCACCTTGAGTCTTCCAAGGTCTGGTAATTTGTTAATACCAGGAGTCTATATCATTGAATTAACTATCACTCCTTCCAAAGTGATCATCAGATATAAGCCTTCAATTTTACATACTGTTTTGACTCCCCTTCTTCCAAAGCACCCTTGGGTATATAAGTGATGTGACATCAGTCCAGTGTACTTCTCTTACAAATCTCAGGCAAATTTGTTCCCAATTCTAGAAATAAT